ATTCACAATTTTCAGGTTTGCACTGTGATGGCTTTACAGAACCTGAGATGTGGCCTTTGCTGCCTCCCTGTGGGTGACAATTTGATCACAGGACATGGGGCTGGCAGGGCATCCCGACTGCCTGGTTCTGCACCCAACCTCACCATGGCTGGAGGCTCAGAGCACTCATCACTCCTGGGATCCACTCCCACCCTCTCTCCACTGCATGGAGAGATCTTCAGTGGGCTGTACACAGCATGGACTTCAAAGCTAATCAGACTTTCTTTGGTCTTCCCTCCTGCCAGACAAAAAAGATAGGCTCTGGAAAATGCTTGTCTGGCTGGCCCTTGGGATGTCTCAGGTCCTCCTACAGCTTTATGTCTTCTAGGAACCGCCCCTGTGTAGCCTGCTTACATCTCCTCAACTTAATCCATGATTTCTCCAGGCCCTAAGGACGATGGAGATAAGGGGCTCCCTGCCTCCCTGCCACAGCTTCCTTCTTCCACATGCAAAGGCTCCTAGCACACCACCTTTGAGAACGAACAACGAAATCACTCTGCAGTCATATTTAAGTACTTCAAGTCTTTAAAATACATTTTGTGAGTAATACATATTTCAAATGAGGGTTTTTTTTAAGATTTTGAAATCTTGCACAGTATGTGCTCTTGGTTTTTAATAGTGATATGACTTAATTTTGTTTTAAAATAATTACTGTCTTAAAAATTAGTAAGTATGGGGGAGTCTGTTAATCTTCCAGGCTTTTTCCCTGGAAAGTGACCTCTCTGCCAGGGGGGGCTTATACTGGATATTAAGAAAAAAATATTTACTGGAAGAGTGGTCAAGCATTGCAGCAGGCTGCCCAGATAAGTGGTGGAGTCCCTATTCCTGGAGGAGGTAAAAAAACATGTAGATGTGGCACTTCAGGACATGGTTCAGTGGGCATGGTGGTGTTGGGTTGACAGTTGGACTTGATGATCTTAGAGGTCTCTTTCAACTTTAACGTTTCTATGATTTATGACAGTAATGCCAGCTACCTGCACTGATGAGCGGGAAGCCCGGGCCTTGCTCAGTGTCCTCCGTCGCTCCCAGCGATGAATGGAGTCCTGCACCTCCATGCTCAGCTGCCGTGTGACGGTGATTTTGTCATAGTTCTTGATGTGCTCCAAGGCCCCATAGGTGGTGGTTAAATAATAGGATCCTGCGAAAGGAGGTCTTGTATGAACATCACACCAGCACAAACCATTAATTTCCACTTCCATCCTGCCTGTTTGTTCTGTGCATCAGCACCTAACAATGTGCACCGTCTGTGCCTCGCAACAGGAAGCACAGAGGTGCCTGATATTAACCCAAGAGGAAGGAGACCTAACAACCAATGTCCTCCACCCACTTCTGCTTCAGAGCAATGCCATTGCCCAGGCTGCTGTGGCTGTAGATGCCCTAGGAGGAAACACAGACTGAAGGCAAATTACTAGAAAAGCTGCTTTCACAAACAAATCCAAACCAATGCCTTTGACCACAGATGGTTTATTCTTTGGGACATGGCCATCTTTATGTGGTGTTTACCAGGGCCAGTGCAACAGGTCTGTAATTTGGGCTCCTGAGCAGTCCCTGTGATGAAAGGAAACAGTAAAAGTTTTAGTGTGCTCTGTAGGAAGAGTACAAGGCCTGGATTCAGCCCCTCTAACTCTAGCTACATGGCTGAAATGTTTAGAAACCAGGTGCCCTGTGGGTTCAGCACCGTTGAAGGCTGTCGCAAACCTGTGAGGATAAATTACTCTCTGCTCCCTCCATCTCTATTGACCAGACAGTGAGCCAGATTGTTTGGCCGAGAGTCATTCCTGGACTATTCAGAGTTGTGGGATAAATCTTGGTAAAGCAGAGAAACAGGGGCTAAAGCAGTAAAAGCCTTCAGTCATTGCTTTTCCCTCAGTAAGTCTCTGCCTGCTCTGGTGTTGGCTGCAGCAGGTAATAAATAACCAACTGCGGCAGCCAGGGAAGCAGCTGGACTGTTCTAAGAACAGACTACATCAACAGAGACGAAAATAAGGCCTGATAAGAGGGCAGAGTATGAGGAAGCTGCTGCTTTGGCTGTGGGGCAGCCCCGTGTCAGGCTCTAATTAAGCTGGGTTAATTAAAAGTGCTCTGCTGACAAGTGAGAGGCTTGGGCCAGGATCTCCTCTGAACACAGGGAAGGAGTCAGCCTGTAGGGCTGTTGCAGCAGCCACGCAGTGACCCCGAGGCAGATGGAGACCGTCCCGTGGGCCTCTTCTAGGCAAGAGCAGGGTAGGTCTGAAGCGGGGCGAGGCCTCTACGCCATCCCTGCTGCTGCTCCCCTCACCCCGGCTGCCAGGAAAACAAGAGAAAGAAAACCTGGCCCGCGGCTGGGCGGAGCTCCCCGTTTTTAACAAGTGTGATGATCATTGCAGTCGCCTCTAGATGGCACTTCCACATCATCCAAAACTCGCACCAGACCGCCTGAGGTTTCCTGGCCCTTTCTCACAGCCATTGCGGCTGATTGCGTAATGATGGCGAAGACAGCATTTTATTTAGAAGTAGTATTTTTAGAGCTCCATTAAAGTTTGGAGTAGCACAGTGGAGACCAAAACGCTGCCATTTGACTTTTCGTACTCGGGTGAATCCGATGAGGAATGTCCCATAGCTACACAGGTCTGCACATACCAACAACACACTCTTTTTCTTTACTGTCTCCTACAAAATGCTGCTGAGAACAGGCTAACAAGCCTGTGAGTGCTGCTTCCCGCCTCTTATATATAGTTACTACCGTCCCATATCTGTCATTCAGTATTTCACCTGCTCTGGCAGAGTTAGGGGTGCCCATGATGGGACCCACAACCTGGCGTATCCTTTCCCTCAGAATCCATGGGGGAAGATTTCCCAGTACCCCACAACAGGAATTCATTACATCTTTGAGAATTTTTCTTCTACTTTCCAGTATCTTCATTTCCATACAGTCATTCCCCATCATCTGTGCTTGCCTCTGCCCCAGTAGTCAACATCACTGTTGTTACAAAATTAATTCAAAATAATTTTTTAATTTGGACGACAGATTGAAATTATTTTGTGTATTGACCTGATATAATTTCATCATTTTCTCACTACTGCTTCCCTTTCCCTCTTTTTATTACTGTGCCTGAATCACCTTTTGCCATTATCTTTGAAAGGCCTAACTCAAGTTGGCTTTTGTCAGTTCTCACTTTAGCCCTGCGCTTTGCGATCTCAGAGAATTCTCAAGAGAATTTCCAGCCAGCTTTGTCTTCCATGGTCTGAGCTCCCCAACCCTGCTGACTTCAGTAGCGTGTCCTTTTGAAATGAAGAACCTATGGGCAGCGTGGTCACCAAAACCAGCTTAGTTATGTCAGCAAAATACTGTGCTTAGGCTAACATATTTTCTGCTAACAATTCTTTACAGCAGGAAAATTAGCTTGTGCAGAAACTCCTCACTAATATGATTGCATTGCTGCTGCTCATTCTGTTAGTACATACTTTTGTCTACCTCTGCACTGTGCTGGAGTGACATGCTCTTAGTTACAGATTTATATACACTTAATATAAATAAAATTAGCCTGCTGTTTTTCATCCACAACTCCTTTCTAAAACTTCAGTATTTACCAAAACAAAGCCAAAGAAAATCATTTTATGGGTTTAGTGACTACTTGGTAAAAAATTAATTGTGTTCCTAACTCAGAGTGTATAATCCTGTCACTGTTAGTAGCATTTTCTTCCCAAGCTATATTTAAGAAACTAAAGGCCCACAATTCCTGGACTATTTATCCCTCTAATAGCAGAGGTCTTTATTTACATCCAAAACCATATTCCTCTCTGACTCGACTTTCCTTTCTCTGCCTTGCTATGATACTCAGTCAGAGAACACTGTCAAAGAGATCACTCAAATTTAAGAGTACAGTGACCATGAGAATGATGTATGGCACCAGGCATACAATGCAGTTTAAGGAATGTGCTCTTTTCTCACTGGAATCTATAAAAGTGTCCTCACAATGGGTTGCAGCAGCAGTTTAATTTTAGGGAAGGCCCTTTTAACTTTTCAGCCTTTCAGCCAAGGAACACTAGGTGTCTCTGTTTAGGTTACTAATCCAGCAATTCAATTCTAGTTTATGCTGGGTCTGGTGTCTAAGGGCACTGCACTGCTAAAAACAGTTAAAGTGTTTGACAATAATTTTAGAACCTCAGATTTGAAAAGCTTGGCCAAAGCCTATCCACAAAGCCTAGCCAGAGCCTTACTGCCCCACTTTCACAATCACTGAAGTGAGGTAGATAATGATTTCCAAAGTGAATATTCCAGGAACAAACATTGTACTCTACCTTCTCCTAACTGCAGAGCAGGATCCATGAGCTCCATCATGTACTCCACATTCAGAAGGACTTCAGTCAAGTTGCTGCGGGCCAACACATACATCAGCACAGGGAGGAAGTCATCTGCACCGTATGGCTTCCCTGAACAAAGAGAAACACAGAGTGGTCCCAATAAACTCACCACAAAGACATGTTTCCACACAACAGTGACAGCTTCTCACCCAGCATGCTCTTTGCAGACTTTAGCTTACATTATCTGAAGAGTTAAAGCTTGAAAGCACCACAAAGAATAAATACTACAGTGACGAAAGTTAGTTCACTTAAAAAGTAAGTAAACTTGCTGCAAGTCCAAAATATGAGCTTGAAAATTTTTTAGTGAGCTCCATTTCTGCCATTCTTTATTAACTGAAGAAAAAGAAACTTAGTTCATGGATCACAAACACAAGATAATTCTTGAAGAGTGCAAAGGCTGCCACCTTGGCCCTCTGATGTGACACTGCCATCAAGACTGCCACTCAGGATTGCAATATTAGCAGCAAAATTGTCTACATGTATTAGAAGTATTTATTCTCTTAGGTTCACTCTATGAGTGGGACCAAAGAGCAGAAAATGGAATTTGACACACTGGGTTTTAGGACTGAGGACTGCTGTGTTTATGTTCCTTCAGAAGGCAAAACATTGCACTACATGTTCCTAATTAAAACAGCCTCCCAAGAGCTAGGATAAATGCTTAGAAGAAGCATCTTTCCAGTCATGATGTCTAGCTAAGAAAACAAAAAAAGCCGTTCATGTTGGACTTAGACTAGTTTTGGGCTTGGTGTACAGCAGGTGCTACAGGAACAGATCCTCATGGGCTTCAGATTTCCTGTGCTTAAAACATTCATACCACCAAAGTCAACAAAGTGATCTTATGTAATCTGTAAAAGTTCTTTGGGATCTCTGAAGACAAAAAAGCGTACACGTTAACATCATTATAAATAATTACTACTTAAAACAGAATCCAGACTGAAGCTTCACCACAAAGAACACAAGAACAACTTATCAGATTTGAAAGATGCTTTCACTTTCCACCAACATGTCAAAAATTCATCATGGACAACCCATAATAACAAGTTGCTTAACAAGCCTATCTTCCCAGCATTCAGGGTTGACCATTCCTCTTAGCCTAAGCCCGGACTGCTTTCATTCTGAATGCTCAGAATGTGACAGTGGCACTTTTCCTCACCTGAGCACTTGGATGTTTTGGTCTCATGGGCCATGTGTGTCTCACTTGAGGACCCTTTGTCTCACCTCAAAGAATCAAAACTATAATTGTTGTAGCTTCGGAAAAATTATTCCCTAGCCCATTTAGGCCCATAATCCACATGCCCTTCCATGGCAAGGCATAAATTCTTATTTCTCAAATGTTCCCACTGACTTATTTCAGATCTTTGCCATGAGTCAGCTTTCCTTTTCTGTCATTCATAGCTGACGCAGATTCTCCACTGGCAAAGAAATATATTTTCCTGAAGCCTTGAATAAACATGAGCTTAGCCCCTGATTAAAAAAAAAAAAAGGTTAAAAAAAGTGTGGCTTTATAATAAACCCAGTAACATATCTAGTGATCCAGTTAAAACAAAGTGTTGGAGTATGAGAGATTGTCAGGGCTGTAATTCAATGTTTCTAACGGAGTCCACACATGGCACAACATAGACAATTTATTTAATGAAAGCTGGATTAATGCTTTCCATTCTGTTTGCTTTATTATGGCTGCCTGTAGTTAAACGACACAGCCTTAGGTCTGCAACAAAACTATGAAAGGAGTGCATTGTATCATTAACATCTGGATGGACATTTTGTTTGTGTGTGGTTGCCTTGGCTTCTGTCACTGTGTAAGCTTCAGCTCTATGAAGGGTCCAATTCATTACTGTCACATATATTACCATAACACAGGTAGCAGCTTAGTATTACAGCTATTTCATATTGTCTAGCAAAAAAAGATGACACAACTGAGACATGAAAATCTACTAGAAAAAAGTGCACAGAGAAAAGCCGTATTCTCCTTTTGACCTTAGCAAATCAGATGCCAACAGAGTTAGTTCTGTATAACACTAGTGTAAAGGAAGATCACGTACCAGAGTTTGCTAGCCTCATTTTTTCCTTTCTTTAAAAACTTTATGATATTGTAATTACTGACCAGAGGCATGCACTGGATGCTTCTGATTTCCTGAAGGCCAAGGGATTTCCAGTGCAACATTTCCCTACAATGTCTTTTTCATGACCAATCCATGTTGTGTCAACTAGGGCATCCAAGAAAGTTGTTACTTCACAACACGAATTCCTATCCACTGGAAAAAAAAAAAGCTGATTTTTTTTTTTTAAATAAAAAGTCACCAAAAGAGATCACCAAGCAGCCAACAGACTGACCTAAATGCAGAGGGGTAACAGCAACTTGAAACTAAACAATTCCGTGTCCCCAGCCATCAACTTCTGGTGTCAACTGAAATGAAAGTTAGGGGACACTTTTCCTACAGAATGTCTCTATTACTTTTTTATTGGCTGACAAGCGGTTGTATGTACAAGCAGGCATCGAGTCAATTATTTTGCATTGCTGCCTATCTCCTTTCTATAAGCTGATTTAGCTGCTCTACTCATCAGCCCTTGTTATAAACCTTTCTGAACTTTAAGATTTCATAGCAATATTATTGGGCTCCCAGCTGTTTATAGGGCTTATATATGAAAATCTGATATATAGTTTAGTTTTGATTAATAATCTCAGAGTAGGGATGTCTGACTGCTATAATGGAAGGAGTACTCTTTCTCTGTATGCTGTACGCTCATAACCTGCATAGATTACTAGAAGTCATTTTAATCCACTTGTGGGAATAAGAAGCCTGATTCTTGCATACCCACACCTGTAGCTAAAGCTGAAGACAGCAGGAGCTGTAGGTGTTAATAAGAAAAAAAGCAAAGCTAATAATCAAGGATCTAGCTCTGACTCCATGTGTTGCCACAAACTTCCAGTGTTGCCTAAGGCAGATCAGGCACGGCATATTGTGCCTGCTCCTTGTAGGCATCACAACAGCTTCTCTCCACTGACTGCACATGGAGCCAAGGATGGGTGTCTGAGAGGGAAGGACTCTGAACCTCCCCTTGTTCTCCTGGCCTTGGGTGTCACAGCAGGCACAGGGATTAGCTTAGACACATACAGCCATCAGAGCAGGTATGGCCCTGATCTTCTGTATCTGAGTCCATCCATGGGGACAATAGGTGCTGTCAGCAACTCAAATATGACCAGAATCAGGAGGCAAAAAGATATATGAACCAATGAGAGGTTAGTACTGCTCAGCATCCTGCACCCCACATGCTCCCTGTGCCACAAAAGGCACCAGGGCACTAACCAGTGCCTATCTAGGGGCTGCAGCAGGGATGTTCTCTGCAGGCTGCTGCCTACTCAGCTCCACTTTCCATCTGGGCCAGAGCCAAGCTCCCAGACCTTCATGTCCAGCTCCATCTGTGGTCTCTCACAGCAGGGTACGTTTGCAGCTGACAGAGTTAAATCTAGCTCTGACCCTGCCAGTGCTCTCAGTGACACTGCGACTGAGCTTGCTTGTTCAAGGTGGAGTTGTCCTGCTCCAGATATGACTTGTTTTCTTTATTTCCCCCTCTTCCCTGCAGAATCAGGAAACATTTATTTCATAAATATCTATAAGAAGCTTAAAATAAGCCTTCTCTTCTGCCACTAACTCATCCTATTATGTTTATAGCAAAGCAAATACAACGTCAGCTCCTGGCTGGAATGCAGTGCTTGAATAGAATGGGTATTAATTAAATACATGATTTAAAGCAACTGGAATTCTGCCCAAGCCTCCATAAAGAAATTACAGCCTATTTTAACACATTCATGCATTTCTTTTCCCTCCACATATATTCTGACAAGCAGTAGTGATGATGCTCTGCACCTTGCTCTAATATTTTACAAACAGTAGCATGATGTCTAGCAGCAGCTCTCCAGGAAATATTAATTTTAGCCTCAGTTTATAGCTGGGAAACCTGGGGTACAGAAAGGTTAACTGAGATTTGTTCAAGATTGTAACAAAAGATTGTGACCATCCTTCCACTCACTAGCATTTTACTGTCTCTTGTCTATCTCATCTACTTCAGCAATGCTTGATTCATGGTATAGTTGAATGAAGAGAGTTAATACATGCAGGCAGCATGAATCCATTTCAAAAACATGTTTTACAGATCAGAGGAATTCATTTCCCTTGAAAAAACTGAACTGGCTCTTTAATTCAAATGTAGAAATTTCACTACCCAGAAAAAAAGATAAAATCGCTAGTCCATCAGCTGTCATTAATAGTAACTTAAATACAAATATCGTCTTCCTAAAGAAAACAAAGGAAAAGCACTATGTATAGCTTTCTTTTGCTTCTCAGAAGTGAGATGTGATAATGAGCAGCATGGTGGGATTGCTCTGACGTGGTTTCAGGAGCTTCTAGCAGTGGTTCCCCACTGGCTGCTAAAGTATTTGTGGCCAGTTTCCTTTTCACAAGCTCAGGTATCCACTGAGGACACACTGCTTTGTGTCTGTGCCTTTTACAACTGTAAAGCCACATAGGAGTGCATCAGGACAACTAATATCTGGCTGCTCATTTCTATAGGGAATGACAAAATTAATCCTAAAAGCTAGGGAAGGGAAATATTCCAATGGTATATATGTCCTATCTATCCTCTTTTTCCAAAAGCAGACTACACATTAGCCATGCAAAACTATACAATAGAAATCAGATGTTTTAGGGCCAGTCACCTAGCCAGCTCCACCACTAGTACAGAACTGGTTTTGAACTATGTACTTCAACTCCAAACATGAAGCTTCATAACCTTAGGTAGTACACAAATTAAAAATATTGCAGTAAGAAAACTGTTCCTCAGTTCATTCTTCTTGAATCTCCTTAGAAAGCAGGATCCCCATCTTTCAAACTTCCAACTTGAGCTTAGACCCTTTCCATGCCTGATGTTCCCTGTTCAGGGATAGACCAATTTTGTCCTGATGTATTTCTTCATAAACCAATGCCTACTGCTCCTCTATTTTTGCTTTTCCATCCGTTCTCTTCCACAGAGTGGCAGCTCCCAGGTAGCATAAGGCTGGGTGCTTCAGGCTCCCCACTGCCAACACACACGACACCTATTGCAGATTTGCACCTTGTTTATCACTCCACAAGTGTCACTTGTGTTTTTGATAGAGTGAAAAACAGATTTTCTCTTTCTACTTCTACCACACAATATACCTTTGACATTTTGTTTGAGTAAAGGTATTTCTGAAAGATAAATAAGAATCAGTTTTTTCTACATAAGCGCTTCTATATGAATCAGCTATGCACCCAGCTATCCCTGTGGGTACGGGGGCATGCCTTCCAAATGTAGGAGCAGTCAAAGAGTTGGGAGCTTACAGCTCCCCATGAGTCCTGCCTCTTATTTTTTCTAGTGCACAGATAAAAAAATGCCACCAAAAAATGCCAGCCAGTTTGTGGGGAGTGGGGTAGGTTTCCAAACTTTTCTTTTTCTATTCTTTTAATGCATATTATTCTTACTAACTATTCCTAGTATTTTTAGCATAGTTTAGCATAGTTTACATAGTTACACAGTTTTACATTGTAGGTTACATTCTTGGAGGCATATGTTGCTGTTATTTAAGTTTGCAAAGAACTTGGAAAAGGTCAGTGAGATACTGCAATTCTATCTTAATTGTCCCTTTGAGGAGGATTCACTTACTAATACCCCTGCCTACACTATACATGTGAACATCTGAACCAGTGCCCCTAAACTCCTTTTATAGCCAGTGATGAGCTAATCAATATCATCAGTGGAGTTTGTCATGAGTCACCTCACCCTAAAGCAGACACCTACATCTAGCCAGATGAATCAACTCAACTCCATTGACTCAGTCCCCAGTGTCTATAATGAGAAGCTAGAGATGATACCCATCTGTGGTCACCTACAGGTCAATGTAGCTGTAGATGAGTCCTGCTTCCACATACATCTACACCTTGTAGTTGTACCCAGAGGTCTGTTAGGAGAAAGGAGTATTGGCAAAGACCATGGACTTGCCTTCCTGATTCCTTGTGATGAATCAGACCCACAAGTTGATTGCCTTCAACTTCGTTTAAACCAGATGAGAGTCTGACCCATTCAATTCATTGTCTAAATATCAGGAGGTTCAACCACAGTCAATTTTTCAGGCAGACTTTGTCATGTAGCATGAACTGCAATCAAACCAAAGAGCTCCTCCTTTCTTAAAATGGCCTGATATACATGGAGTTTCATGACTCTTTCAGCAGTGCAAAGACAGGCATACCCAGACTCAGACCTTCCTGAGTAAGCCCATCCCTAGTTTTACGGAAAACTTGGTACCTGTTGGGACACCCTGGCCAAACCTGGGCTGCTGTACATGGGTCTCAGAATGTTAAAAAAATCGTGTTTTCATACAGGTCTGAAAAAACAATTTGGTGGTATTTGCACTTTGCTTTGAGATATGAAACCATATTCATAGCTTGTCCAGCAGTCAGCCTAAAGTGAATAAAGACCTGGCCTGAGCTGCCAAACTGCAAATTAAACCAGACAATGTAAGTAGTTATCATGTTAGTGAACAAATAATTTTTCTAACAGGATCAGACTGATTTTGGTCCTGCAGAATGATTAGTTTTGTGCTCCACCTGCTCTGGTCTTGGGAGAGGAGGAAACTCTCTAATTCAGCAGTGAGAAAAAGGAGGTAAAAGAAGAACAGACTATTGCACAGGAAGCCAAGCTTGGCCTCTGCTCTTCCTGTGCGAAGAGCATTGCGCTGCCTTGGGGCTGTTGAAAGCAAAAGGGGCCCTGGATCGCTGCTCTCAAGATGGACAGAGAGCAGGAGAATTCCTACCGGCTGAAATCTGGCTTGAGCGGCCTGCAGCCCCCTCTTCAGCACACCAACAGCTGGAAATTCCCTGTCAGAAAAATATTTCAGTTTGCTGAATGTTTGTCTTTGCCGTATGGAAAATCAAAGTGGTTCTGAGGTCAGTTCATTCTGTTGAAGGAGTTTCACACATTTCACTTCTAAGTGGGTCTACAGGATGTTTCACTCAATTTCTCTCTGAGTCCACTGTCTTCCAGGAGTTAGACTACAGCATTCTCCTCTCCTTAACTTATTTTTCTGGTCTGAATTCACAGGTACAGTTCCTCAATGCCAGACCAGTTTCCTTCTGGCCAGCCCCCGTAGGCATCACTGATCATATGAACTGGAGAGGGAACTGGAGGCACAAGGAGGCACTCAGCTTCCGACCTGCACCCTGCTTGCAGCAGTACTCAACGTGAGAAAACAGTTGAGCTGGCTGAAATGAAGAGCTTCGGTTAGCATAGCAAACCACAATGAAATCCTCTGATTTCGTGAATGCCAATCTTTTAAAATATGTAGCTTTTTTTGAATGATTTCCCTGACCCCTAATTTCTGTTACATAAAATGACACAACGGCATTTCCTGCAACAGAGAAAATCCAGCCCTGAGTTGAGGTGTGACAGTTACGTAAAGAACCACCAGCATCGGAAGGAGACTGCATCTCCTGTGTGGATTTTAATGAGGCAAGTGAGCCTTTGATCTATACCAAATGTACTCTCAAACTTAACACAGCTGTTTTAACAAAGTTACAGCAAATTCCCCTGCACATGCCCAGATCTTCTCGTGATACTTGAAGACAGGCAGAGGTCCTATCCACCCTGCAGCTTACACTCAGCCCTGGGGTGGCTTCTTGCTCTGCTGTTAATGTGTCTAGATTGGTCATTGAACCTTGCTGCACACTGTCCAACGGATGACCCTGCGGAGAGGCTCAGAAGGGACGCAACAACTCCTGTATGAGTGCCCCTAGGCTGTTATCAGTACAAAATAGAGCAGAAGAGCTAAAAGTACCTTTGGACCCTGAGAATTCTTGAACAACCACAATTGTTGCAAAGTAATATCTGACTTCTCTCCAAATTCGTGCATGGCTGGTCATCAGCTCACCAGTATGCAAAGAAAGCTCTTAAACTGGCAAGGCAGATTCCTGGAAAAAGGGGCTTCTTGGTCTTTCTGCAAAAATGCATCCTGTCTTCAGGCCAAGGACTTAACGTGTGCATTTAGTGGTTTCCCCGCAGTCCAAGTTATATTTACACCCAAAGCACATACTCCTTCACACTGAAGAAGCGTAGTAGTGGCTTTTGGAGTTTACTGGAGCATCAGGAATCAGTAACAAACAGTACTAGCATTCTGCATCTCCTCCTCAGTTTAGGCAAGACTTTGTAAGGACGAAATCAAGAGACTTTTCCCAAAGACCCATTCCTAGAATTTACCACTAAGCTGCTACAAGCTGTGACAGAGCTCTTGAGGATTTATGGAGAGCTGTGTGAAGATCTGTGCACAAAGGACATTACCCATAAAACACATTTTTACAGGCATCTGTTTTTTGGAGTTATGGAGCTTAAAATTAACCAGGTAACATCTTATACCTGTTATTAGCGTAGAGAACTTCGCAGTCTACTAACCATCCCATTCTGAACATAACCTATGAACAACTTATACACCAACCATCACTGTAACCTCCAATCTGAATATTATCACATCAACTGTATCATATACCCTATTCCTTTGATAGATGGAGAAGGAGCAGTGAGGAATAGCATTCAGTGAAAGTGCTGTACCTGGGTTTCCATGAGCCATGGAGTCATATATGAGTTTGCAGGATTTAAGCAAGGTGGCAATCTTCTTTTCCGGGGAGTAGGCCTTGTGCATGGTGGTGAACTTGTGAAGGATCTTGTCCAGCACAACAGTTTCAGGCACACTGGTCGTGATGCCTAGGTCAGTGGTAGTTGTGTTTTGTATCACAAGTTGGTTCTCTTTTAGCTGCTGTAAAGACCCGTCTTTGTTGTGGATTTCTTTTAAGTAAGAATCAATGGCTTCTTTCAAAGGTTTCAGGACACATTTGTACAAAGCCGTCTCAGCAATCACTTCTGCATAGAGAAGGGAGAACACAAAAGTCCATGAAAAATAATCAACACAGTAGTACACGTGCAAGTAAAATTCCTAAGAAAACATGTGGTTGGTTATACAGCATAGCTGTGAGCAGGGAACAGAAATTACATCCCAGAAAGTAAACGCTCCATTACCAATGCCCTTCAGATGGCCTGGATAGCCTTGAGGTGAACATCAATGCATGGTCTTTGCCACTGGAGCCACAGGAGAGCTCCTGCCACCAGCAGCCCCTGCTGTCCTGGGCAGACTCCTGGCTGACCTTACAGATGCCCAAGTGGGACTCATCACATGTCCCTTCTGACATCTCCCTCTAACCTGTTTGAGATATTAACTTTGGGATAAAATTAACTGCACCCTCAAAGTGCCCCTTTCTCCACAGTGACTGAAAAGGGGCTGTACCCACCAGCTCAGAGGCAGACACCAACGTCTGCTCAGAAGTTTCTCACCCTTACTGCTCAAGAGAGTCTAACTTACTGATACTTAAGTCATCTCTTACACCACCTGTGGATGAGGAAATAGTCTGTGTGGTTTGAGCGTTTGCTTAATATTTAGGAGGAGACAAAAGGAAGCATGAGAGACTGTGAGAAAGTCTGTTGTCTGACTTCTAGAAACCAGGGCCAGAGCTGGAGGGACTGCAAGGGATCCTCTTGTCACCCCTGCCCTGAGGCAAAAAGGTCACTGGCAAAAGAGTTCATCTGCTCAGTTCCTGAGGAATGAAATAGAGGGCAGTAACATTTATGTGTACAAAATGCAGCAATTTTAAACAATCCAGAGAATCAGTCAGCCTGAAGCAGGACAAACTCAAATGGTGAATCTTCCACAGTGGGAATCTGTTCTCCACAGGAGAAGACAGTCCCAAGTGGGCTGACTGGGCCACTTCATCCTATTAAGCAACTGCCAGTGAACAGGATGAGATGTAACCAGGCACGTCGGTGGGAAGGTGGGGAACCTTGCACACACGCAGCTCTTCCAAGCAGAACAAGGACACTTCTTTCTGCCTCCTCTTCACCTTCCCTAATCAAAGTTCAAAACAGACTTCTCTGTGCTGACACCCCTTCCGCCTTGAAGAAAAGGGTTACTGGGACAAAAATTGCAGGTGTTACATGAGGTGCATGAGAAGTGAAACTGCAGTTCCCCTCTCCTAGCTATGGCAAGGGGCTTGCAGCAGGTCTGTTCTGCTGGGGAGACTGCAGGATCACCTTTCTTGGGTGAGGAAGAAGCCAGCAGGGCCTGCTGACACTGACAGCTGAGTGCCTCTGGGTCCTGGCTCACCACTTAGATGGGTCCCACCTAATACTGGAGCTGCAGGATCCTCTGGAATCCCTGGTCACCTCTGTGGTTGGCCATGCTCAGTGTTTGGGCTCTTCCAGCTCCCAGCTTGCTTTAAGCCAACTTAGAGATCTCATAAATAGCTCTGCACTGGTTCTCAGGTCCTCAGAAAACAGTTTTAAGTCAAAAGAGCATGTGAGTCCATGCAAACATGCTTTTTCTGGCTGTACGGCTTTGACTGGGATAAAAAATTCTTCAGCTCTTTCTATATTCCCCCATGATTGTACATTAAACAGGCCAGGCCATTTCTTAGCAAGGAGGGAAGTAGCACATGACTCAACACAGACTATTGAATGAAAAGCAACAAAACACCCCTAAACAGCCAAAAATACTATTTTGCCTGCCCAAAAGGCAAACTACGTCTGTGGCAAAGAGAGGTGAATGCTGCATTTTTGAGCCGGCAGAGGTCTTGCAGCAGGGCACATCTTTCATGCCCCTGAGCTCTGAAGAGCACAGAGTGGGATCAAATGATTCTTTCAACCTGCCACTGTAAATCATCACAGTCTTGTCCCTCCTTGTGAGACAGTGACTGAGCCCTGGCCTGGCTGCCATATGCAGGGAGCTCTCCATCCTCACTGCAGGGCATGGGACAGTGGACGTGAAAGGCCATGGGGAACACAGCTGTGTGGGAGAGAGTTGGCCTTTTGTGTTTCCAGTGAATACAGCTCTGTGTGTGTGTGCCTGTGCATACACACACAGATATATATATGTACACACACTCATATTTGTATGCCTGCATATGCATATGCATATATACATACATGTCTCTATTACAAACACACATCTTTTCTGCTTAAACTCTTCCCTTTATAACACTGATAATGGGATTTTCTCCCTCATTGGTCTCTCAGTTTTTAGAGCTGCTCCTCCAAGTGCTGGCAACCACAGAGTAGACTTCAGTTCACACCCATCTACTTTGAGGAGATGGTTTATAATTCTGTAAAGCAGAACCAGTGTATGCGTAATCCTGTCTCCCTCCTCATCTTCCCAAATCCTGCCCGAGGGTGAGTAAAGCACAGTCACCTACCTAACTGTTCCTCGGTGTAGGAGGCTGGGTCTATCAGAGATTTCAACTCGGTGCTCTGCACTAAATAACTCTTCAGCTGCGTCATCATCATCCGGATTTCTTGTAGCATCTCTGTGCTGGAGCTCTGTTTTGCCATCATCTCTAAACTGTACACTCTGTAGTCCTGCACCAGGTTGCCAAAGTACGAATCCTTGTCCTGTGCCAGCTCCACTATCTTCTTCTGCAGCTTCCTGTCACTAGACAAAAAGACTGTGAAGACATTGGACAGGCTGACAAAGGAAAGCCTGTTCTTGGCCTTGTCCAAGATCACGGAGCGTGTCTTTTTACCAGATGAACTACTCAGCATCTCCGGCTCATCCTCTGTGCTGCTGGTGGAGTAGGAATCTGACGTCTGAGCCATGGCGCTGCCTCCTGGGCCCTCCAGGGAGGAGTGCGAACCTTTCAGTTCGGCTGAGCTGTTGGATTTGCGACTGTGTCCCAGTTCAGCCTTGGTGTGTGTGCAAGTGGCACCACCTGCCACTGTAGCCAAGCTTCTCTTGGACAAAGCCTGCGCCTTGGCTGTGGCTGTCTCTGCCGCTGTTGTTTGCTTCGGCTCGCAGGAGTTGGGGGTCTTTGGCACCTGGGAAAGCCTCTTCCTTCTTGGAGGTGGGATAGGAGGTGACTTTGCAGTCTTAATGGCATTGCTTTGTATCTCAGGCATGTCCTCCTTCTTCTCTGCAGGTTCAGGCTTTGTCTCCTGAAACTGTGATACAGCCCTTTCAGGAACCTCCCCAGGCATTTCTACAGCGTCTTTGCACAGTGACTTTTTATCTCTGCTCTCTGTACTTGGGTCTTGTTTTTCTTCCGTCCCTTCCCCTTTCAGCGTTTCACAACTTCCAGGCTTACCCACAGGGCTCTCCTCCGAGGTTCTCTCGCATAGCCGCCTCCGCGGGGGGACAGAGGGCTGGGAGCCCTTCTTGGGGCTTGCTGCTGAGGGCTCCTTGACTGAGCAGCTCTGCTTCCCTTCTTCTTCTTTATTGCCACTGCCCTCAATTTTCATTTCCTTGACGCTCTTTCCTAGCGGCTGGAGAAGCAGATTGTCTTCTTCACAGGCAGTCATGGCATCCCGCAGGAGCTTCACAGAAGATTTCTGACCGTGCGTGTGAGAAGGTGGAGGTGGAGGGGGGCGACAGGGAGACCTCCTTTCGGCGAGCGTGGTGGCAGGGGGCAGATTGGCGCTCACAGCATGGCTTTTAGGAGGAGGTACATCTGGGGGAAAAGGATTGCTGCACTCTTCTATAAAAATAGGATTCACGAACCACAGCCTGTCATTTCCTATCGACAGCTCAATTTCACATGAGCAGTGGTTTGTGTTACTTGCAAAACACTGGGTAGATCTTAAGCTGTCTGCCTGGGCAGTGCTGAAAGCAGAGTCTTTTGCAGAGTGGAATAACTCCTCTTTTATTCTGTGGTTTAAGGAGGAATCCCAGAAATCTGCCCCCCCCAAAAAAAAAAGAAAAGAAGAATGAAAAAATGCTCTGAGATAATTTTAGCTGCTAATGGTATGTAGTTTTTATTAAAACGGTACACAAGCTTTCACACCTCTACACAACACAGTGTGAAGAAAGGGTTGCTGTTTTATGCATGTGAGATGCTTCAAACCATGGAACAAGCTCAGAAGTTTCACCAGAAACCTCTTTCTTGCCAATTTTAGGACACTCACCTAGTGAAAATTGTTAATGCTGTGCAGCCTCTGCAGTGTGAGCAGGAAGGTACAAGTAACAAACAGGAATGATTGTGAAAAATGGTCTATGGCTCATTCAATGATCATTACCCTCCAAATGCAAATAGCTGTGGACACCTGAGGCGAGGGTCTGAAGACCCCAGCTGAGTGTTGTCTCCTTCTTGCTGACCATAGGAAGGTGCCGGGCTGAGATATACAGCCTGGATCCAGTGTGCACCGGGAGCACAGGAGACATCAGATGAAGATAACTCTACCATGCAGTGAACTGATGTGGCAGAGTCTGTTCTACACTGAGGTCTGACCCTGCTTTGCAGTGCAGCCAGTCTGGAAACATACAATTTTAGATACCTTCCACAGATTAAAATTACCATTAATGTCTATAGCTCTGGATGACCATTCTCCATAACCATGCCCACTCTGTTTTGCACCTTGCCTTGAGCCTGCCTGCCTGCAGCTGTAAGAGGGAGGATGGTGCAAAAGACTGTGTACACAGGAAAGTTGTGTACTGAAGGACTAAATAACTGTTAAGTATTTCAGTGCCGTCAACTGTGACTGGAAAAGGAAGATGGTGTTTCAGATGCAAGTAGTAATTTCTATATGTCACAAACCTCTTATGAGAATTTATTTTGCAGTAACTTGCTTTAAAAAAACCCACAGAGTGCTTGTACATCTTTTGAACAGATTCAGTATCATATTTAACCTTTTTCTCTTCCCCTAGAGAAGAGTTCTCTGGGGAACCTGCTTGCTTTACCAGTCTGATGCTTTGAATCACTCAGATGCTAATCCAGGGTCCACTACTGGAAGCATCAGGAAACAGAGACTCCTGCAAACTCT